ATTAATTCAATATTTTGTTTTCATCTATTATTACTATTAAATGTTAATAAAGATAATATTCAGATTAAGTAAAAAAAAATAATTTTAGATAATGAATAACCTATATACACTCTATAAGTACAATTTACACCTTTGAAATCTCTGTCGTTCCACATTGTGCAGATTGAAAGTGTGTAACAAAAAAATACACTTACCCAGACACTGTGTACCAACTTTGCCAGATCCCCAGATGTAATCTTTACCTAAAATAGAAAGTGCAAATTAATAAAAAACTAATCATATAATAAGCTATAAATAAATATAAGGGATCATATTTAATCACTTATCGAGTTTGATATTCATCAGAAAAAAAGCCGTTATCACTGTAGAGAACTTTTAACTGTTTATACTTGATTATATTTTTACTTAGACAGTGCAAATTAATAAAAAAACTAATCATAAAATAATCTACAAATAAATATTAGGGATCTTATTTAATCAATTATTGAATTCGATATTCATCAGGAAAAAAGCCATTATCACTGTAAAGAACTTTTAACTGTCTATACTTGATTATATTTTTACTTACAATGAATACATAATATTGGAGTTAGAAAATAAACATCCCTCAAACGGTGCTCTGAACTGCTAATCCTAACATCAATTGCTGAAATCAAAAAAAATTTCATGTCAACAATACCTTAACCTAAATTTAAAAGGCATAATCCCTTATTAAATACTACAAAAGGTTTAGTTGAGTTTATTTATATTACTATGGTAAATCCAGTTTAATTAATGTTTACCTTTTTGCCCAGAACAGCTTGTAGAAGTTAAATGAGATGCTTCCACTCCTGGTGCTGATGGATGATGTATAGTGTTATTTACTTTTGATCCCAGCAACTTAACCAGTTCGACTAAAAGTGAAATATAGCAGAAAACTAATTTATCTTCACTTCTCAAACAACACTTACTTGGTATGTAACCTACTTGTTCTGTTCTTCTGTTGTAAGCCCAAAGCCATCCTTTTCGCTGCTTTTCATTTTCAATAAACGAAGACTGCACATCAAAAACGTCATCTTTTTGAAATTCTATAGCATTACTTTCATCATCATGAGGAATATAATTCTGGAGAGCTTGATATAATACATAATCTCCCATCGTAATCTAATAAGGCCTTAAGTACTCACACCCCCTTTCGCATCATGTCACGATTATTGCCGTTAACTTAAACATCCTAAGTTGCTTTTCCTGGCGCCACTCAACGTCCAAAAAATCATCTTACTTAAATAATTATAAAACTAGTTATAAAAATATTAATCCGAATTTGGGGGAAGGTAAAGTGCTCCGTCTTAACATTCACCGATTCACTTTAAAATACAATGTTAATGATACAAAAACATAAAATGTTAAACATATTAAAATTTTTTGAAAATTCATGTATTTTAATGTTAATGGCACAATTTATTATTTGAACACTTTCCTAGGGCGCATCAATGGCGTCATTATCGTCGAACGTCAGTTTGTTTTTGTTGAAAACTGTTGTAGTGTATCCGCTACCATGACTGTTCTATTTCATTTTATTTTTNTCGTATTTGGCTCAAAACTGAAAATTTTCATAAATTTCAACATTTGTATTAGGAGAGCATAAGATGCATCCGGTCTTTTTCAAAAAAAAACTTGAATTTTCCATTACTTTTCGACTAACCCTCGTATTTGGCTCAAAACTGAAAATTTTCATAAATTTCAACATTTGTATTAGGAGAGCATAAGTTGCATCGGGTCTTTTTCAAAAAACAATTTTGAATTTTCCATTACTTTTCTTGTAGTTAATTAAGGTGAGCATGCATACTATATTTTCTATATGTAGTGTATTTATTTGATATTAACAAAGAAAAAGGTGCAGCATTACTTTAACAATGTATCCTGCACATTATTTACTTAATACTTGATTAATCATATCTTAACACTCATAAGATTTCATTTTACAGGAACATTAGAAGAACTCCAGATACCATTAAATTATGAAATTTTGGAGCATTGGTTGTATTAGTCCTCATTTGCCCTGGAAAGTAGCTGTGCCCATAGTTCTAAAGAAAGCATGAAAGTGCCTTTTTTTCATTGGAATGAAGACAGTTTGCTGAAAAAGGATTTATGACAATGAACTGGTATATAACAGTATCAGTTAAAAATAGTAAATGATATCTTTAGATAACTTCAATTCCTTAGACATTTGTAACTTTCTTCAATAGACAACTTTTAAACAACGTTTCAGAAATAGCAGAAGCAGAATTAATGTGGAACAGATCTTTCCATTAGTGTGCATGTTGATTCAAAAATGATAATTATTTTTTCTTGCCTGTTTCTATATAGATTGTCCCACAAATGAGAAGGAATTGCAGTTAATTTTGGTGCTACTAAAACAACCGATGCTTGTGACGTCTTCACCTTGCAACATTATGCAGTTAATTTTTGCCATAACAATGGGAGGCAATTGGAAATTAATTAATTTGGAAGCAATCTGAACAACAAATTTATGTACCATAACAATTCATGTTAAATTTTAATCTGACGATTATTAATTTAATTTTTGAACGTTACTTTGTTATTTTAAGATGATTACAAAACAGAGAAACAATTCGTAGCCTATAAGAGAATTAATTCTCAATTTTTATACTATTTGTGAGTACTTTTTGTTAAATTATATGTTTGACGTTTTGTTGGTTTCCTAATTAAAAATTGTGGTGGTATACCATATTATGTTAGCATTCTGTTATCATATCTTTAATTGAGGTAGTAATTATAATTTATTTGTAGTGGGATGCTGCTTAACACTTTAAATCATTTTTGTCAACAGTCATCATCACAACTACACAGAAGTTAACACCATCAAGAAGACAAAATATGATCCTTTACACAATGCATGTTACATAGATAAATGGTCCACACATACCACAGGTCATTAACAACAGTTGATGTTTATCACTAGGATTGCATGGACATTACAGTTTAAGTGAGTTTTTAAGATTTTTTGTGAATCGTAATATTTTTTGCTTATACAGACAGATATGTAGATAAACTTTTGTGTATATTACATTTCAACTATTAATTTAGACACAGTATTCATTGCAACTAATTTTATTATAAACAGTAGTTAAAGAACGGCTTATTAAAAAAAAAAGCTGTTTATGTGTATTATTGCCATTATAATTCATCACCTCTCCAGAATATACCAGTCCCCTAAAAAACTATTAAAAAGAATATGTTTATTTGGTGTTAACAGAGAAAAGAGTTTGACATTACTTTAATATTGTATTATATACGTTTTATTAGTAGGGAGGCTAAAGTAATTAATATAAATTAATTAATACTCGTTATATTTTATTTTACAAGAACATTAAGTCTTCGGATGCTATGTGTTACAAAACCGTTGGAACTATCGGCCTTCTTTCACTCACAGCAGTATCAGAAGTCCCGAAGAAGCCTGAAGGTGCCTTTTTTGCATTGAAAATGAAAACAGTGTGTTATTGCTAAAGGAAGACTTTCTTACTGGTAAGTAACAGTATCAATTACAAATAGTGCAAAAAAACAGAAATACTAGGAACCTCAATTTCTTAGACATCTGCAGGTAACTTTCAATTGTCAGATTTACTTTAATATAGGTACAGACCATTTATTTTAAATTTTCCTTTGGAAACGGTAATATGAACTATTTATACGTTTACTTTGTCTAATTTGAGAATCGGAAGAAGAAGGATAATGACAAAATATTAAAATTTTAATTTGCTTAATCATGAATGCTACATTATGTATCTATTATTTTAGCGGTCTTCTTTAAAATATTATTGATTAAAAGGAGGTAATTGTTTTTTTTTGTCCATTTCTACAGATTGGTCAACAAATGAGAGAGATTGGGAATTTAATTTGGACTGTAGCGATGACGACTTGCGATGTCTGTATTGGGATCCTTTGTGCGTTTACTTTGTTTTTCACACATGTGAACTACGGAGGGTCACATTCTGCAACTAATTCAGGTAATAATACTTAATAACAGTTAAATTAATATTAATTATACGTTATTAACCTATTGTCAATTTGGACGTACTCGAACATAATGCTTAGGATGACGAGCATATGCTACTTATGTACATAATATCGTCAGATTATTTTATATAGGTCATTTTTGTTGGGGTTGTAGATAATTGCGAACTTCAGTCTACCAAATTTTTTCTAAAAAGGCTTGGTTGATGTTTATAGCTCCACTACATTTTGCTGATTTTGCCACAAAAATTCGTAGAAAACATGTATTTACACTTCCAGCCCCCAATTTAAAAACGTTTTTATTTCTTAATTGTTAATATTTTGTAAACCCTGGTTTTGAAA